CACAGCCAAACCATATCACCTTTATTTCTCTTGCACTGTGGGGGCAGCACCAAGGTTTCCCACCTGTGAGTTCTGGAGCAGCTGCCCAGACTGCAATCTGGGCCAGCATGAACCACAGCTGTGGCAGCTGAGGAACAGTATGCCAGAATGTGGGGAGAAAAACTTTGAGGTGGCCCTGCGGTGAGCCCTGAGGTCCCATGAAGGCTCTGGGCCCCTCCTTTGAAACCTCTCAAGGTCTTGGCACTTTAAGCTTATGATGGAAGTGCTAGCCTCACAGATCTCTAAATTGTCTTCAGAATCGTTCTTTTATTATTGTCTAGATAAATAACACCTGGCTTCCATCAGTCTCTATTAATCTTATCAAACATTTGCTTGACCAAATTCTTGGTGTTTTCTCCCAAACATGCCTTTTAATTCTTTACATTTTGGCCAGGTTGAGAATTTTACAAATCTTTAAGTTCAGCTTCATTTTTTATTTTAAATTCTTTGTTTTTTGCTTTGCTTGTTATAAGCAGTCAAGAGAAACCCTTAACACTTTGCTTAGAGATTTCTTCCACCAAATATCCTAGTTCAGGGGTCCCTAACCCCCAGACGAGAGACTGATACCAGTCTCAATTGCGGGTCCCTATTGCTCGCGATACTGCTTGAGTTCCACCTCCTGTCGCGTTAGCTGTGGCATTAGATTCTCATAGGAACGCGGACCCTACTGTGAACTGTGCATGTGAGAGATATAGGTTGCATACTCCTTATGAGAATCTAATGCCTGATGATCTGTTGTTACCCCTAGATGGGACTGTCTAGTTGCAGGAAAACAAATTCAGGGCTCCCACTGATTCTACAATATGTTGAGTTGTATAATTATTTCATTATATATAATAACATAGTAATCAAAATAAAGTACACAATAAATGTAATGCCGTTGAATCATCCTGAAACACCCCTCCCCCCACCCTTAGTCTGTGGAAAAACTGTTTTCCACAAAACTGGTCCCTGGTGCCGAAAAGGTTGGGGACCACCATCCTAGTTCATTGCTCTTAATTCTGCCATCCACAAGGTACTAGGACATGGACACAATTCATTGAAGTTCTTTGCCAATTGGTAACAAGAATGGCCTTTCCTCCCAGTTTCCAATAAGACACTCCTCATTTCTGTCCGAGACCTCTTCACAATAAACTTTATTGTCCATGTTCTACCAGCATTCTGACCACTTCAGTAATCTCTAAGATTTAGGCTCTCTCTATAGCTCTCTTCTTTTTTGCCCTCATCAGAATAGCCCTTTATGATCTAGCCTCTAGGTCTTATCTAGTTCTATTAATAAAACTGCTTCCACAATTTTAGATACTTGTATAGCAGAATTCCATTTCCTGGTTCCAGTTTCAGTTTTAGTTTGTTTGTGCTGCTATTAACAAAACATCTGAGACTGGATAATGTATAGAGAACAGACGTTTTATTTCTCAACAGTCTGGAGGCTGGAAGTCGAAGATCAAGGTGCTGGCAGGTTCCATGACTGTTAAGGATTCAGTCTCTGCTTCCAAGATGGCGCTGTGAATACTGTGTCATCATCATGTGGTGGAAAGGAAGGAAGAGTAAAAATTGGAGCCAAACTCACTCTTTTAATCTGTACTATAAGAGTGCTAATCCCATTCATGAGGCTGGAGCCCTCATGGCCTAATCACCCACTAAAGGCTTCACTTATTAATACTGTTGCACTGGGGGTTAAGTTTCAATGTGAATTTTGGAGAGGACACAAACATTCAAACCATAGCAGCTCTGATTCTATCATCTAGTTCTTTATATAGTTGTTTTGTATCTGCATTGTCAGAGCATAAACCATAAGCTCTCTCCTGCTTAACCATTATCTATTGTTAGTTTTGCAGATAACTGTGTGACTTATGATCACCGCAAGTCCTTATGTTGATGTCTTTCTAGTTATTTGATTATTTGAAACCTGTTCTGTGGTAGATTCCTCAGGAAGAGTACATGGCACAATATTCTTTAACATTCTTGCATGTTCAAAATTTGTGTACTTTATACTTGGAACTAAATTTTGCTGGGTAGGAAATCTTTGCTAATACTTTCTTTTGTTAAATATCTTAACTATGTGAATCCATTTTCTTTTGGCGTAAAACATTGCTGTGGAAAATTTTAATGCTCATTTATATTTCTTTCCCTTGTAATTCAAGTCCTCCTCTTGCTTAAGGGATTGTTTTCCCTCTTTAAAATTTAAAGGAACATTTTACCAGCATGTTCCTTGGTTTTGGTCTTTCAACGTTAATATTCTAAGGTACGTGGGATGTTCTTTCAATGTATACATTCAAATCTTTTTCTATATCAAAATTTTCTTGAATTATGGTTTTTAGTATTCTGTGTATTTGCTGGATTTTCTTCAGAGACTCCTTTTATCTGCATTTTGGATATTCTTTGCGTATCTTCATATTTGCCATATTTGATATCCTTATTCATCTTTTTATTTCTTCTACATTTAACTTTTTCCTTTTTTATTCTTCGTTTATTTGCACTTCTATTCCTTCTAATTTAGTTTTAATTTTTGAAATTACTTTATTTCTGATACTGAGTTCTTTTGCGTCATTTCTGAGATCTTCTAATTCAGATTTATGTTGTTATTTTATGTCCTATATCCTTTTCTAATGTCTTTTAGCTCATATTGAAATAATATACAGCTTTGTACAGTCAGTTTTGAGAATTCACAGAAAGAAGCTCAACTGTTCCAGCCCATTTAGTCTTTTTTACCACTGGCTGCTTGCACTCACCTGGGATTGGAGAGAGCAGACCCTTCCTTGTTTTAGATGCTCTTCATATCTTGGCTTATGGTGCTTTCTAGTGAATGCTTATTGGCACTTTGGGGTTCTCTATTGCTGAATCCGTCAGATATTACTTAATTGCTTTGTTTAGTTTTTTTTTCCACATAGGTGATGCTACCATGCAGAACTTGTAGCTACCGACTGTGCTGTTATTTATAGATCTTTCCAGCGTCTCTCCCAACTCTTTTTTAAAAAGGAAATAAAATAGTTCATACTTATTTTTTGCACCTAATTTCCTGTCATTCTCTATTACGAATTGCTTGATTCATGTATTTCGCTTAGACCATTTAATTTACATAGGGTGAACTATTGGTTACCGAGTCCTCACTATGTACCAGACATGCTGAGAATTTTATATGTATTTTATATAATCCTAACCGCTCATCCCTTAGCGTAAGGTAGTAGTATGTCTTTTCATAGGTATTAGAAACTAAGTACAGATTCAGTAAGCTATGTAAGGTCATGTAAAAAATGGAGGTTAGGTTTAAACCAAGTGTATCAACTCCATGTTTTTTCCAGTAGACTGTACATCCTCCATGACCAGTAATATTGTTTGGCTCTGTGTCTCATCTTGTAGCACCCATAATTCCCGTGTGTTGTCTGGGATGCCCACTGCGAGATGATTGAATCATGGGGCCAGGTCTTTCCTATGCTGTTTTCATGATAGTGAATGGGTCTCACAAGATCTACTGGTTTTAAAAATAGGAGTTTCTCAGCACAAGCTCTCTTTCTTTGCCTGCTGCCATCCACGTAAGTTGCGACTTGCTCCTTCTTGCCTTCCACCATCACTGTGAGGCCTCCCCAGCCACGTGGAACTGTGAGTCCAGTTAAACCTCTTTCTTTTGTTGATTGCCCAGTCTCCGGTATGTCTTTATCAGCAGCACGAATATGGACTGATACAATCAATTTATTTTCTTTGAACTGTTTACTCCTTTCCAGTTTATCTTCTGGGGAGTTTGGTTTTGTTTTTGTTTGTTTCAAATTTATTTATTTTAAAAATTGACATATAAACAACATGCCAGTGTGTTTTTCTTTTACATGACAATGGTTTTCCTATCAGACAGCTCTGATCGTGTTGCTTTTTTTTTTTTTTTAGCAATTTTTAGTTGTTCTCCTGTACCTTTAAAAAAAAACTTAAAAGTTTTTTAGCATGAAATAAAAGTCATCTAAGGAACTCGCTCTTTTTACTTCCTGTACACTCATTTCTTGATCCCAGGGTATTTATTTAATTCTGAATTACCGGTAGTTCTTTCTGTATAGAATAAATTACTTTCTTATTTGCCTGCTGAACTTCTTTTCAACCTTTAAGAGATAGGGGTCTTGCTGTGTTGCTCAGACGGGGGTGCAATGGCACAGTTATAGCTCACTGCAGCCTCAGCTTCCCAGGTTCAAGTGATCCTCTCACATCAGCCTCCCGAGTAGCTGGGACCACAGGCAGGTGCCACCATGCCTCTTTTTTTTTCTGTTGTTGTTGTTGTTGTTGAGATGGAGTCTTGCTTTGTCGCTGAGGCTGGAGTGCAGTGGCATAATCTTGGCTCACTGTAACCTCCGCCTTCCAGTTTCTTTATTTTTTCTTTTTTTTTAATTACTTTTAAAATAGGGTTTCACCATGTTGGTCAGGCTGGTCTTGAACTCCCAACCTCAGTTGATCCGCCCGCCTTGGCCTCCAAAGTGCTTGGATTACAGGCGTGAGCCACCACGCCTGGCCGCCTCCCAGTTTCAAGCGATTCTCCTGCCTAGGTCTCCTGAGTAGCTGGGATTACAGGTGTGAGCCACCACAGCTGGCTAATTTTTGTTAATTTAGTAGAGACAGGGTTTTGCCATGTTGGCTAGGCTGGTCTTGAACTACTGGATCAAGTGATTCTCCTGCCCTGGGCTCCGAAAGTCCTGGGGTTACAGACACAAGCCACCGTGCCTGTGCCTGGCCCATTCATCACTTCTAAAGATAGTCGTAATACCAGTCAGAATGGTATTTTGGTTTTCTAAAGGATCCGTTGCTTTTGTTCAATTAATGTTTTACTTTATCAACTTTGAGATACCATAGACATCTACATGATTGTGAGTTTATTTTCCTTACCTAAAATGTTGATTTTGTCTTGTCAATTTTTTGATATCTATTATATATATATGTTTGTATGTATATACATACACAGTTAAATGTCATGTAATTTTTTTCAGAAATGCGAGATAAAATGAGAAAATGGAGAGAAGAAAACTCACGAAATAGTGAGCAAATTGTGGAAGTTGGAGAAGAATTAATTAATGAATATGCTTCTAAGCTTGGAGATGATAGTAAGTACTTTTATGCAGGTTCAGTACATGTCTCATTTATGGACTGTTTTAACTTCTTTCATTTATGATTTTTATAGTTGTTGTATTAATCTTCTCTGTGACTTCTTGTCCCAAGAATTTTAATGATAGTTTATTTTGAGAAGGATTTATAATTGCCTGGTAGTAATAAAGCTATGGCATTTTGTTTTAAAGCTCACAGGGCTGCCAGATGTCTAGGCAAAATGTATTGTGTAAGGACTCTTTTAAAACAGTAAATGTATTAAATAGTTGGAGATTTTAACATTATATTAACATATTTACACTGTTGAAACATATAAGAATGTGTTCTTAGTTTCAGAGATAATACAGTAAATCAATTTTCAGTTCTAAGTAATAATTCTCTGGAAATATCAGAAACTAGAATTCGTTAATTTCAATTTGGGTTATGTTTTTAAATATTAAATTTAGATTTTTTTCCCCCCCGTGTATATCTAGTTTGGATCATATATGAACAGGTGATGATTGCTGCACTAGACTATGGTCGGGATGACTTGGCATTGGTAGGTATTTAAATGAAATATATATTTAATCTGCTTCATGAATTGTATACTGTAGTTAAGACTTAATGTATGGCTTTTACTGAATGCTTTCTATAGCTGGTTTTGAGTGCTGCTCTGAACAGTAAATGGAACTAACTAGATATTTTAGGACAAAGTATCTTAAATCTTTTGAATAGTTCTGAGAAGTAGGTATCTGCTATCCCAGTTTTACTGGAAAGATTTAGTCGCTGAAATTTATCTCCTTAGTAGGTGACTTATTCTGTTTTATAGAGTTTAAAATAAAAAGCAAAGTTTGAAACAATTTTCTCTTTTGGCTTCTTGAATGACTTTCATAGACTATAATGTTCAATATTGTTACACAATATTATAAACATACATAAGAAAATTCTGACATATAGAATATAACTTAAAATACTAATAATGTTTGGCCAGATGCAGTGGCTCACATCTGTCTGTAATGCCAGCACTGTGGAAGACTGAGGGAGGTGGACCACCTGAGGTCAGGAGTTTGAGACCAGCCTGGCCAACATGGTGAAATCCCATCTGTACTAAAAATAAAAATAATTAGCTAGGTATGGTGTAGCGTGCCTGTAGACCCAGCTACTCAGGGGGCTGAGGCAGGAGAATCGCTTGAACCTGGGAGGCAGAAGTTGCAATGAGCTGAGATTGTGCCATTGCACACCAGCCTTAGCAGCAGAGCGAAACTCCATCTCCAAAAAAAAAAAAAAAAAAACCAAATACTAATACTGCTTTTAAAATAACACTATAATGATACCTGTATTTTTGGACTCATGTGAGGCATGAAGCTAAATGCTTTACATCATGCTTTTATTGAGCCCTCATAATTATTTCTTGATTTGTGTTTGATGTTATTATTCATTTTATAAATCAGGAAGCAGAGGTGTCTATTCTGTTGTTCTTATCATCTTGAATTCTTAAGTACCACTTCATGCTGCCTCCATATTTAAACTGAAAGGAAATATACAAAAACAAAAAATAGAAATACCTGAAAAAAATTCACATCTGAATTAGTATTGTCCTTTTCAAGGTTGGTTTGGCTATACATGTAATTCCAGAGGAGCTGTTAGCGGTGAAAACATTCCAGAAAACCTTTGTTGGATTATCTTCAGAACCTATGAGCCATAGTCTTTTGAATATCCATAGATGTGGCAGTTTTACATCTTGAGAGAAGTTTTTATTTATTTATTTATTTAAATAGCCAAATGCCACTTGATAAAGTAGGAGGTCAGGTTAGATAATACTATTGAATATCCATAGAGGTGGCAGTTTTACATCTTGAGAGAAGTTTTTATTTATTTATTTTTTTTAAATAGCCAAATACCACTTGATAAAGTAGGAGGTCAGATTAGATAATACTATTGATTAATAAAGCAGGATATCCTATTAAGCGGTAACTTTTTAATGGTTAAGATTATTTATACAGTTAGCTTGCTTTACTGACCTAGTAATATGATTTTGCTTGATGTCAAATAAATGAACATATCTTCACTTTTGACTAACTTGAATATTTTTCTTAGTGTGGCAAATTTCAGCCACAAACTTTGAAGTTATATTTCAAAATCATATTAAAACTTATTTTATTACCAGTTAATAGTTTCATCAGTAGTTAATGGCATTGTTTTGGTCACTCATGCATTAGGATGCTTCAATGGACCATTTATATAATCTTTAACATTTCTAGGACGTCGAGAACTTAGAATCCTTCATATGTTGCTGAGGACATAGATACTCAATAAATATTTGATTATTTAGTTAGTCAAGTTGATGAGTCAATTATAGATACTTGTTCAAAGAAATTGGTATTCCATTAATTTAATGTCTGTATTTTCTGATCCCAAATCAGGATACGTTGATTGAAAGGATGATTGATTAATAAAAAATTTCAACAGGGCAAAATTAAACACTGTTAATATTATTTGCTAGGAACTTGAGATGACTACTAAAAAACTTAGTTTTTACCAGAAGAATGCTTCTGCTGTAATTATGAAGAAAACACCAAGTGCTGTTGTCATTTAAGTCGGGGCCCAACATGTCATAGAAGTAGTTTTTAAGGAGGAATAATGTGATAGTAGTACATGAAGAATTATTAGTGGATATCATAATCAGCTCATTTTCCTGGTTAAGAGCATGATTGGTTTCTGAGAACTGATTGTTGCCTTCACTGTAATGTCATAGATCTTTCAATCCATTATTTTTTTACTGATTAATTTCACTTCATGTTATTAGAGGAGGCTAAGGAAATTATTCAGGAAAATACATTGAAGACTACATACACCATTCTTTATTGCCTTTTTAATATATATAATGTAATTATTACTCAACTCTTATTTTTTCAGTTTTGTCTTCAAGAGCTAAGAAGACAGTTCCCTGGCAGTCACAGAGTCAAGCGATTAACAGGCATGAGATTTGAAGCCATGGAAAGGTAACCAAATCTTGTCAACAGTGTGATCCTATTAAAACTGGCAGGCATGGAGCCTGTTAATCACGGTAGTGTTAATTTTTTTTTAATTTCAGACACTAGAGTGTGTGAAGTACTGTCTCATTGTGGCTTTAATTTACATTTTTTGAAGATTAATGAGGTTAAAAACCTGGTCCTGTCTGCTTAGATATTCAAATAACTTCTTTCTGAAATATCTTCTTTACCCCTTTACAAAATTGGGTTGTTTCACCTTTTTTACTGATGATTTGTAGGAGTTCTTTATATATTCTGGATAAAAACTTTGTCAGATATATGTGCTGTGAATATTTCTCCCTATTTTCTTGCTTCAATATTTTATTTTGTAAATGATGCCTTGTGAAGTAGAGAAGTTTTTAATTCTGATGAAATTCAGTTTATCATTTTTTTAATGGTTAGTGATTTTTGTGTCCTGTTCAATAATTCTTTTCCTACTTCAATGTCTCAACAATATTCGGTAGTGTCTTCTAGACGTAGGAACATTTTAAATTTATGATTATTTTTAATTCATAAGAGTGCTTTCAGAGTATTTTTCTTTTTGCCGTCTGCTTTTTAAAATTTTATTTTCAGTACTTCTAGATAATTGATTGTGCTGTACAGTTCAACTGTGTCCTTATATTTTGTCTATTAATTACTAATAAAGGAATATGGAAGTCTCCAACTTTAATAGCGGATTCATCTATTTCTCCTTGCAGTTCTATTAGTTTTTGCCTCACGTATTTTGATGTTCTATTGTTAAGGATTTTTGTGTTTTTCATGAGTATGAGCGCTTTATATTATGTAATGCCCCTCTTTATCCCTCCTAATTTTTCTTGCTCTGAAGTCAGCTTAAATGTAGCTCCTGAGCTTTCTTTTGATTAGTATTAGGGCATATCTTTCTCCTTCCCTTTACTTTTATTCTATTATAACTTTGTATTTAGAGGGTTTTGTGTAGACAGCATTTAGTTGGGTCATGTTTGTAAATCCACTTTGATAGTCTCTGTCTTTTTATTGGTATACTTAAACTATTTACATTTAAAGTTAATAAAGTTGTTTTAATATCTGCCATATTCATAAATTTTCTATTGATTGTTCTTGTTATTTTTTTCTTTTGTCATTTCTGTTTTCTGCCTTCTCTGATTTAATTGAGAATTTATACGATTTCATTTTTTCTGTCTCTCAATATATTCTTTTTAAATTTTTAAATAGCTGTCTGAGAGATTGCAATATATATTTACAACTATTCAAGTCAGCTTTCAAGCAATACTATACTGATTGACAGGCAAATACCTTACAACAGAGTATTTTTAATTCCTCTTTTTTGTCATTTGTAACACTGCTTTCATTCATTTCACTTATTCATAAACCATAATTACCAAATACATTGTTGCTGTTACTATTTTGAGCAAACTGTTATCAGATCAATAAGAATTAGAAAAATAAAAATTTTATTTTACCTTTATTCATTTTCTAATGCTCTTCCTTCCTTTATATAGATCAAAGGTTCTGACCAATATCATTTTCCTTTTATCTGAAGAGCAGCTTTTAACGTTTCTTGCAGGGCAGGTCTGCTAACAGCAAATTGCTTTAATTTTTGTTTGTCTGGAGTATATTTCTCTGTCACATAAATATTTCCCTACTCTTTTCTTGTTTGCATGGTTTCTGAAGAGAAGTCTGATATAATTCTTATCCTTGTACCTGTATAAGTAATGTGTTTTTTTCTTCTGGCATCTTTTAAAATTTTCTCTTTGTTTTTGATTTTCTGTAGTTTGAATATGTTATACATAAGTATAGATTTTTTGGTATTTATTCTGCTTGATGTTCTTAGAGCTTACTTGATCTGTAGTTTTGTGTGTCTATTACAAGTTTAGGAAAAATTTTAACCATTAATACTTCAAACGTTTCCAATATTTCTTTTTTCCTTCTAGTATTCCCATTACATATATGTTACATCTTTTGTAATTGTACACACTTCTTGGATATTGTGTTCTATTATTTAGTTGGTTTTGTCTTCTTATTTCAGTTTTGAAAATTTTTATTGACAATTCTTCAATCTCCTGACTCTTTTGGGTTATGTCCAGTCTACTAATAAGCCCAAGCCCATCAAAGGCATTCATCATTTCTTTTACATTGTTTTAATTTCCAGTATTTTATTTTGATTTCTTTTTTAGAGTTTCCATCTCTCTGTTTACGTTACCCACCTGTTTTTACATCTTGTTTATTTTTCCATGAAAATACATAACCATCTTTTAAATTCCTAGCCTGTTTATGACAATACTTCTGCTATGTCTGCATCTAATTCTGATGGTTTTTCTGTCTCTTCAGCTTGTATGACTGGTTTTTACTTTTGTACTTTGGATAAATTGAATTAATTTTTTTTTTAAGGAAATTTTCTGTAAGTACTATATACATGATTTGCTTTACTTAACGAAGTAAGACTATAGTAAACATTTAGTGTTCTGCGAAGATGGGAAGACTTCAATAACAATTATAAATGCATTTAAATTAAAAGATTAAAGCCACTTTAATTTTTTTCTGTATTTACTATTCGTCACCATATTTTTAAGGTAATAATTGTAGGTGTTTCTTTTTCTTTTTAAATAGATATGATGATGCTATACAGCTGTATGATAGGATTTTACAAGAAGATCCAACTAACACTGTAAGTTGGCAGATTGTCTTGAAAAAAATCTAAAGTTTAATTTAAAAGATAAAATTAATTCTTTGAGGAAATAATGGAAAGATACATAAGGAACCTGGTTTTATATTTTTAATTTTTTATTAAAATATTTTTGTTTTAAATTTTAAATAGTTCACGATGGGCCACATTTTATTTAAAATAGATTTAAGACTCTCCAATAAAATTTGACTTCTGTAAGATATCTTATTAGAAAAGTGGGCTAGTTAAGATTTGGAAAGAGCAGACTATGTGTTTGCATAAAACATTTTGAAGTTTATGAAAAACTAAGTTGTTTAGTTTGTGCAGTTACTTTTTAATTGTCTTAATGTAAAATAAAAGAAGCCATTTCAGTAATTAGTATATGGAATTAATGAAGGCATTTTGTTTTGTTTTTGCTTTTTTCTGCCTTATACATGAGTAAGAAGAAATATATACCCCTTTAATTTACCATAATTTTGAAAAAGTATTTTAGTTTATTGGAGAGAATATTTGTTCTAAAGATACCTATATAGCAGTATATTTGTTTGAAAAATACCCTGGTGAATTCTGTTTTTAATGCTGGGAGCACTGTGGTTTATTACCATAATAGCTTCCCTCAGACTTAACCTTTCAACTAAAAAGTTACAGAGAGACTTTAGTCATTTTAGTGTTTCCTGGTGAGCCACATTTTATTTTAAATAGATTTAAGACTCTCCAATAAAATTTGACTTCTAGAAGATATCTTATTAGAAAAGGGGGCTAGCATTAGTCATTTTAATGTTTTGTGTCAATATTTCCTTGCACACATATGCCTGCTAAATTAAATATTTCTAAATTTTTTTTTTTTTTTTTTTTTTTTTTTTTTTTTTGAGATGGAGTTTCATTCTCATTACCCAGGCTGGAGTGCAGTGGCATGATCTCGGCTCACCGCAGCCTCCGCCTCCTGGGTTCAGGCAATTCTCCTGCCTCAGCCTCCTGAGTAGCTGGGATTACAGGCATGTGCCACCATGCCCAGCTGAATTTTTGTATTTTTAGTAGAGACGGGGTTTCACCATGTTGACCAGGATGGTCTCGATCTCTTGACCTCGTGATCCACCCACCTGGGCCTCCCAAAGTGCTGGGATTACAGGCGTGAGCCACCGCGCCCGGCCTCTAAATTTTTTAAACAAAAACCAGGTTGAGTTTTTTTTTCCTTTTATAGAGGAAGAAATTGTTCTATTAACACAATAAAGATACATGAAGTTTTTCTATTACTTGGCAAGTATTTCTTTTAAAATAGACATTTTAAAAATCTTACATAATATCTGACTGTAGATTTTAAGATGTAAAATGCTTGGTAATTGAACAACAGTAACTTGATGTCTGTAGTTCCTAGAGCATATTCCTAGGCATTGATCATAATTGATATTCTGTAGTAATACTTAGGTATTATAGTAGTTGGTATGTTCCTTAAATGATAGTTGCTTACTTTTAATCTTTTCCCACCCCAGGGAGATTTTCTGTGAAAACTTCCTAGAGGGATATGTGTGTGTGTGTGTGTGTGTGTGTGTGTGTGTGTGTGTGTGTGTGTGTGTGTGTGTGTGTATTAGTCTGTTTTCATGTTGCTGATAAAGACATACCTGAGACTGGGCAATTTACAAAAGAAAAGTGTTTATTTGACTTACAGTTGCACATGGCTGGGAAGACCTCACAATCACAGCAAAAGGCAAGGAGGAACAAGTCACATCTTCTGTGGATGGCAGCAGGCAAAGGAAGCTTGTACAGGGAAACTCCCATTTTTAAAACCATCAGCTCTCATGGAACTCACTCGCTATCACAAGAACAGTATAGGAAAAACTCAACCCCATAATTCAGTCACCTCTCACTGGGTTCCTCCCACAACATGTGCAAACTGTGGAGTTACAATTCAAGATGAGATTTGGGTGGGGACATAACCAAACCATATTATTCTTCCCCAGGCCCCTCCCAAATCTCATATTTTCACAAATTCAAAACCAATCATGCCTTCCCAGCAGTCCCACAAAGCCTTAACTAATTTCAGCATTAACTCAGAAGTCCACAGTCCAGCATTTTATCTGAGACAAGGCAAGTGTCCTCCACTTATGAGCCTGTAAAATCAAAGGCATGTTAGTTACTTCCTAGATACAATGGGGGTATAGGCATTGGGTAAATACCGCCATTCCAAATGGGAGAAATTAGCCACAACAAAGGGGCTATGGGCCCCATACAAGTCTGCAATCCAGCAGGGCAGTCAAATCTTAAAGCTCCAAAATGATCTTTGATTCCATGTCTCACATTCAGGTAATGCTGATGCAAGAGGTAGGTTCCCATGGTCTTGAACAGCTCCATCTCTGTGGCTTTGCAGTTTACATCTTCCCTCCCAGCTGCTTTCCCAGGCAGGTCATGAGTGTCTGTAGCTTTTCCAGGTGCACGGTGCAAACTGTTGGTGGAGATACCATTCTGGGGTCTGGAGGATGTTGGCCCTCTGTACGGCTCCACTAGGCATTCCCTGGGTAGGGACTGTGTGTGGGGGCTCCTACGCCACATTTCACTTCCACACGGCCCTAGCAGAGGTTCTCCATGAGAGCCCTGCCCCTGCAGCAAACTTCTGCCTGGATACCCAGGCATTTCCATACATCCTTTGAAATCTAGACGGAGGTTCCCAAACTTCAATTCTTGACTTCTGTGCACTCACAGGCTCAAACCATGTGGAAGCTGCTAAGGGTTGGGCTTGCATCCTCTGAAGCTAGGCTCGAGCTCTATGTTAGCTCTTTTCAGCCACGTTTGGAGTGCCTGGTATGCTAGGCACCAAGTCCCTAGGTTGCACATAGCATGGGACCTTGGGTCTAGCCCATACCACCTTTTCCTGTTAGGCTCTAGGCCTGTGATGGGAGGGGCTGCCATGAATACCTCTGACATGCCCTGGAGGCATTTCCTCTGTTGTCTGTGGAATTAACAATTGGCTCCTTGTTACCTATGCAAATTTCTGCAGCTGGCTTGAACTTCTCCTCAGAAAATGGGATTTTCTTTTCTTTATATATATATGTGTGTATGTGTGTGTGTGTGTATGTGTATATATATATATATATATGGGGTACATTTAGGTACATTTAGGTTCTGGGGTACATTTGAAGAACATGCAGGATTGTTGCATAGGTACATACATGGCAGTGTGGTTTGCTGCCTCCATCCCCATCACCTATATCTGGCATTTCTCCCCATGTTATCCCTCCCCAACTCCCTACCTCACTGTCCCTCCCTTAGTCCCCCCACCAACAGACCTCAGTGTGTGATGCTCTCCTCCCTGTGTCCATATGTTCTCATTATTCAGCACCCACCTGTGAGTGAGAACACGTGGTGTTTGATTTTCTGTTCTTATGTCAGTTTGCTGAGAATGATGGTTTCCAGGTTCATCCATGTCCCTACAAAGGACACGAACTCATCGTTTATTATACCTGCATAGTATTCCATGGTATATATGTGCCACATTTTCCCTGTCCAGTCTATCATTGATGGGCATTTGGGTTGGTTTCAGGTCTTTGCTATTGTAAACAGTGCTTCAGTGAATATACGTATGCGTGTCTTTATAATAGAACGATTTATAATGCTTTGGATGTATACTCAGTAATGGGATTGCTGGGTGAAATGGACTTTATATTTCTCGGTCCTTGAGGAATCGCCACACTGTCTTCCACAATGGTTGAACTAATTTACACTCCCACCAACAGTGTAAAAGTGTTCCTATTTCTCCACATCTTCTCCAGTATCTGTTGTCTCCAGATTTTTTAATGATCGCCATTCTTACTGGTGTGAGATGGTATCTCAGTGTAGTTTTGATTTGCATTTCTCTGAAGACCTGTGATGAGGAGCATTTTTTCATATGTTTTTTGGCCTCATATATGTCTTCTTTTGAAAAGTGTCTGTTCATACCCTTTGCCCACTTTTGAATGGGTTTATTTTTTTCTTGTAAATCTCTTTTAGTTCTTTGTAGATTCTGGATATAAGTCCTTTGTCAGATTTCCTTTTCTATTGCATTGTCAGGCTGCAAACTTGCTGAACTTTTATTCTCTGCTTCCCTTTTAAAACTGAAAGCTGTTAACAGCACCCAAGTCACCTCTTGAATGCTTTGCTTCTTAGAAATTTCTTTTATCAGATACCCTAAAGTATCTCTCTCAAGTTCAAAGTTCCACAAATCTGTAGGGCAGGGGCAAAATGCCGCCAGTCTCTTTGCTAAAACATAGCAAGAGTCACTTTTGCTCCAGTTTCCAGCAAATTCCTCATCTCCATCTGAGACCGCCTCAGCCTGGATTTCATTGTCCATATCATTATTGACATTTTGGGCAAAGTCATAAACAAGTCTTTAGGGAGTTATAAACTTTCCCACAGCTTCCCATCTTCTGAGCCCTCCAAACTGTTCCACCCTCCGCAGGTACCCAGTTCCAAAGTTGCTTCCAAATTTTCAGCTATCTCTTTAGCAACTCCTCACTCTACTGGCACCAATTTACTGTGTTAGTCTGTATACATGCTACTGATAAAGACATACCCAAGACTGGACAATTTACAAAAGAGAAAGGTTTATTAGACTTACAGTTTCATGTGGCTGGAGAGGCCTCAAACTCATGGCAGAAGGCAAGGAGGAGCAAGTCACATCTTACATGGATGGCAGCAGGCAAAGAGAGCTTGTACAGAGAAACTCCTGTTTTAAAACTATCAGATCTTGTGAGACTCATTCACTATCATGAGAACAGTGCAGGAAAGACATGCCCCCATAATTCTATCACCTCCCACTGGGTTCTTCTATTGATGCATGGGAGTTGTGGGAGTTACAATTCAAGAAGAGTTTTGGGTGGTGACACAGCCAAACCACTATATGAGTGAGAGAGAGAGAGAGAGAGAGAGAGAGAGTGTGTGTGTGTGTTGTTGTAGATAGCTAAGAACTTTATTTTGTGAAGATTCTCAGAATATAGAAAGTTGAAGGAAAAGTTTTAACAGCTGCAAACCAA